AGGCTGGCTCTGATGTGCCTTTGGCAAAGGGGCCTGAGGGACAGAGATGGCAGTCCTTGAAAATGCACTGTTGCTAGACTGACTGAGGTACGTCTGACCTTTCATGCTGTAAGCACTCGCTGTGCTGTTCCTCTCATCAGAAAGTGACCGTGGCTGTTTTGACCCTATTGTGGACGCTGTGCATCCTATGAGCTTCGGAGCTTGCATTTTACTACTACTGGGTTGCCCAGGTTTTGTACCATGGAAGAACTGTGGGCTTTTAGGTTCTTCAGTGAAACTGGTCTGTGTCTGCTGGTCTTTGTACTGATCACCTGGCCAGGAGCCAGAATATTTAAGCTCTCTGTGTTTTGTAGGCTGAATAAATCTGAGGTCATTCATTTGTTTGAACTCTTCTGGTCTCCACAGCTCTTGTTTTTGTAACTCATTTTTATTGGTCATGTTTCCTGTAAGTGCTTGTAACTCCAAGTCCGTTGAAGACATACTTAAGAGACTTTGTTCTTGCAAAGCCCCATTGTTATCAAACCCATTCTTATCAGGGCTCTGGGTTATGTTGTTGTTCCTATCTGTATCTGGCAGATTTGATTCTGATTTAACTGGGATGGAGACCAAACAAAATATAGTTTCATTCATTTTTTTCTTTGAACTTTTTTTGCTCTGCATCCCAGTCCCAGGTTCAAACTTTTTCACTTTTGTAACAGTTTCACAGGTGCTATCCATATGTGAATTTCTTACAAAGAGTTTGCCTTTTGTGTATTCTGCACTTCCTTCATTACGAGGACTGTGGTTAGTTGCACTATAACTGTCTCTTTGGTCAGACAAGGCACAATTTTCCTGATCTTGGACGGATGGTGCCAACCATCTGTTGTTACTGTGGGTGGAACTGTCAGAAGTTCTTTCTCCCTTTACAGAATTAGAGAAGTTTGATGCATCCAAAAAGGCACTGTTGTTATGTACTCCAAGATCTCTATCTTGCAAAGTCCCGGAACTGGGATTACATGCACTGTCAGTGTGTTTAGCGTTCTCCTGGAGACCTTCTGGTGGTGCAATTTTAATATGTCGTATTCGAGGATCATCAAAAGGAATATACTGAACAGAACGTAGATAGTCGGCAGGGTGCCTCGTATGGCTTTGCTTTCCATGAGAAAGATGGTTTTCTTTGCAAGGTTCACCCACTGCTTCAAAAGCATTTGTGGCTGGTCGTTGGCAGGTGACAGCCCTTTCTGCAGAATTCTGCTGATCACTGTTAGCGTACGCATCACTGTTAGGCACTTCATTGAGGGAATGTGGAGTCACACTTTGGTGAAGTGGGGATTTGTAAGACGGAGGAGGTACATAGTCCGGGGGCTCCAAAGCAGAGTCTTGAATGCAACCGTCTTGCCTTGGCTCATTAACTTTGGCTAAATAGGAAATAGGTTCATTTTTTTGATAGTGGTCCTGAAAAGCACTGGTTTCTGCAGATGTCCTCGTTTGCCGCTGCAGTTCATAGGATGGAGGTTTCAGAGGTCTTCCGTACTTGGGTTTTGCCAGTGGTAGGAAATGGGCTCCTGTTTCTTGGTGTTTGGTCGATTCCAAAGTTATTCTGTTTGGGGGATAAGACGGTGTCCTAGTTCCACTGAGAGAGCTGTTACTGTTGGTCAGGGAGGGCATTTCCACACACCGCAGGCTCTCTGGTGAAAGAACTCTTGGCAATGACTGTGATTTCCCTTTGTTATGCGTGGTCAACACCTTGTCTCCCAGAGTCAATGTGTACAGATCTTGAAGCAGTTTCTCCCTGTCACCATCTGACATTTGCCTTCCTATTTTTTTGGGTTCATTCCAGTTTTCCATTCTTAAACTTTGCCATTTGCAGTCACCAGGCACTTTACAGCTCTCTTGCAAACCACTTCTTGCATACTCTGGTCCTGCTCCTACCTTGAGCTGAGTTTCTTTAGCATGTCTGTGTGCCCCGTGGGCTGGGGACGGTCCTTTCATTTCAGAGCCTCCTTTGTGGGAGTAGCCCAATAACACACTAAAGTCTTGTCCTCTTCTTCTCCAGTAGGCAAGATCTTTATCCGTCTTGGGCTGGGAAGACCATGTTAATTGAGGCCTGTCATCAACCCTGAAAAAGAAATGCAGTGTCACAGGCAATTTATACAGATGTCCTTTCTTTCCCTTATGGGTAATTCTGTTAGGAGGTCACATGTTGAGTTATGCCAATGGGATTTCTGTAATCTGCTCACAACCAGAAGATGTTATGATTTTAATGAGAGGATTTAAAAGTCAATCACTAATATGAGCAAAGGAAGGGTGAAGGAACCTATACTCTGCTTGCATGTTGTTAGCTATGCAAAGCTGCTAGGAGGAGAAATAAAGTACATACAGTTTTGGCCTGTGCAACACATCCATCCCTCTTCAACGGACACTAGTATAATAGAAATGATTACCTTGAACTGATTTCTGCACTCTGTTACATCAAAATCTATTGACTTCACTGGGACTACACTGGTGGAGAAATTTAATAAGCACTTGAAGGTAAAAAGCAGAGGATAGGGAGAATGGTAGAGGGCTAATTCATAAGATATGTTCTGCAAAAGTATGATTTGCATCATAGTACAAGGACTGAAACTGAACATGTTATTTCCTACTTTGATGCTTGTTCCTTTCTAAGGAAACAAATTTCTTTAAAGTGTTTAAATAAAATAATGCATACCACAAACACAGTTAAGTATTAGTATGATTCTGAGTAAGATGGAGCTGATATTTAAAATCTAAAGTACCTCAAAAGAAATATAAGATTTTTAATTAAAAAGGGATTACCTCCAACAATGCATCACTAAATTATGAAAGAGAGCAAACATTTTATTGCAAACAAAAAATTCAGAACAGAGATTTACATTAATAGAATAGGTGCTTCATATGTTCTGAACAGACTATAAATTATTTTATATATTACTGCTGAGTAAAATTGGTACCTTTTTATATAAATAATTAATATTCTATTTGAACCATTTTCTGTTATTCTAGTATCTAATGTGTCCAACAACATAACTGCCATTACACTGCGTAGCTGCCACCAGTGTAAGACTGGAAAGAAAAATCAAAATTGACATAAATAGGACAAGTATGTAGATAAAGCCTAAGAATTTCTTCCTTTTCCCTCAGTCTCAAGGTATAAAAAGTTTCATCTGGCTTTTTTTGGTAAAAAACAATCATTTATTTAAATACTATTTTATGAAAGCATAATACAGTTCAAAATCGCAGAATCAAAATTAAGCAATCCAGATTCATAGCCCTGTTCCTTTTTGTTAACATGTACTAACTTCATCCTACAAATATGAAAATTAAAAAATATTAACTAACTGGGACAGGATGCATCTTGTTCCTGTTAAATCCACTGGATTAAGATTTAACATCTGAACAAAACATTAAAAA